TTCCGAGTAGCTGGGACTACAGGCGCCCGCCACCTCGCCCGGCTAGTTTTTTGTATTTATTTATTTATTTATTTATTTTTTTTACTAGAGGCAAGGTTTCACCGTGTTAGCCAGGATGGTCTTGATCTCCTGACCTCGTGATCCGCCTGTCTCGGCCTCCCAAAGTGCTGGGATTACAGGCTTGAGCCACCGCACCCGGCTCACTCTTTCTTTCGTAGACAGAGTCTTGCTCTGTCACCAGGCTGGAGTGCACTGGCACAATCTCGGCGCACTGCAACCTCCTCCTCCCAGGTTCAAGTGATTCCCCTGTCTCAGCCTCCTGAGTAGCTGGGTCTACAGGCATGCACCACCATGCCCGGTTAATTTTTTGTATTGTAGTAGAGACTGGGTTTCACCATGTTGGCCAGGATGGTCTTGATCCCCTGACCTCGCGATCCACTCACCTTGGCCTCCCAAAGTGCTGGGATTACAGGCATAAGCCACTGCGCCAGACCCTCTTTTTTCATTCCAGAAAAGAAATACTCCAAATAAAGCCCTTGGAAGTTTCCTCTTTTTTTTTTTTTTTTTGATGGAGTCTCTCTCCATCACCCTAGAGTGCAGTGGCGCAATCTCGGCTTACTGCAACCTCTGCCTCCCAGGTTCAAGCGATTTTCCTGCCTCAGATTCCTGAGTAGCTGGGATTACAGGTGCCTGCCACCATGCCTGGTTGATTTTTTTTTTTTTTTGTATTTTTAGTAGAGTTGGGGTTTCACCATGTTGGCCAGGCTGGTTTCAAACTCCTGGCCTCAAGTGATCCACCTGCCTTGGCCTCCCAAAGTGTTAGGATTATAGCGGTGAGCCACCATGTCCAGCCAGGTTCCTCTTTATGTCATTGATGAGATACTAGTCACATGCCCACCCCATAAACCAGTCACTGGGAACGGGAATGGAATGGTCATTAGAATATTCAGGATTTATCCCTGAGCTGAGCTCACTATAGGGTTATAGTTTTTCCTTTTTTTTTTGAGACGGAGTCTTGCTTTGTTGCCCAGGCTGGAGTGCAGTGGTGCAATCTTGGCTCACTGCAGCCTCTGCCTCCCGGGTTCAAGCTGTTCTCCTGTCTCAGCCTCGCGAGTAGCTGGGACTACAGGCACACGCCACTATGCCTAGATAATTTTTGTATTTTTAGTAGAGGGGTTAGACTATATTGGTCAGGCTGGTCTCAAACTGCTGACCTCAGATGATCCACCCGCCTCAGCCTCCCAAGGTGTTGGGATTATAGGCGTGAGCCACCGCACCTGGCCTTATAGGGTTACTTTTCTAGAGAGGAAAAATTGGGTGTCTGTTGGCAAGGAAGAAAGAGAATAGGTTGGGGTAAGCAATCAATACTGTGTGCCATGTCCCTTAAATGTTTTTCTCTTGCCCTCGGTAACACCTATGACATTTTAGCAATCATTAATTTCACGTAAGTAGGCAGGACAGAGTTTGCAGAGTTGGAATGGGACAGTCTGTTTGTGGAGGACTTAATATCCTGAGGCAGAAAGGAGGCTTACATGCAATGAGGCAAGAGAAATGTACGTGGATCATTTAGCTTGAGTTCAAACCTATCAACAAACCACCATTTTTTAACCAACTGTGTTAAGATATGAGGTACAACAGGTGAAAGCCCTGGTAATCAGAAATAAACCTGAATCCATATAAAAAGCTTAGAAAGCCTGTATTTTCCCAGGATTTTATGCCAGCAATACAGAAGCTGTAAAAACTGCCACCAACTGACCAGGGCACCTTAATAACCTGGGCAGTCATTATCATAATGCACCGAGAGATTGCAGAAAGAAAACAAAATTGGTCTCTGGGTATGGTGGCTCATGCCTATAATCCTAGCACTTTGGGAAGTCAAGGCAGGAAGATTACTTGAGTGCAGGAGTTTGAGACCAGCCTGGGCAACGTAACAAGATTCTGTCTCTACAAAGAAAGGAAGAAAAATTAGCCAGGTGTAGTGGCAATCGCCTGTGGTTGCAGCTACTTGGGAGGTTGAGGTGGGAGGATGGCTTGAGGCTGGGAGATGGAGGCACAGTGAGCTGTGATTGGGCCACCGTACTCTGCCTGTGTGACAGGGTGAGACCTTGTCACAAAAACAAAAATAAAAACAAAACAAGAAAGACAAAAGAAAATTGAGCTTGTCAGAACATTCACAGAGAACTGGCAGAGGGTAGAATAAAAATGTATGTGGTCCTCATATATAGATATTATCTCATTTGAAAATTCCACTCCTGTCTTCTATCTAATAATAATAGCAAACATTGGCCGGGCTCGGTGGCTCACGCCTGTAATCCCAGCACTTTGGGAGGCCAAGGCGGGTGGATCACAAGGTCAGGAGATCGAGACCATCCTGGCCAACACGGTGAAACCCTGTCTTTATTAAAAATAGAAAAATTAGCTGGGCATGGTGACGTGCGCCTGTAGTCACAGTTACTCAGGAGGCTGAGACAGCAGAATCACTTGAACCCAGGAGGCGGAGGTTGCAATGAGTCGAGATCGCACCATTGCACACCAGCCTGGGCGACAGAGGGAGACTCTGTCTCAAAAAAAAAAAAAAAAAAAAAAAAAAGCAAACATTTAAATAGGAATTACTGGGGACCACACTTTATATTAACTAATTTGTTCAATAACCCTGTAAGGTACTACTATTATCATCACTCCCATTTTAAAAATGAAAGAAGAACTGAGGAACAGCCAGGCGTGGTGGCTCATGCCTATGATCCCAGCATTTTGGGAGGCCAAGGTGTGTAGATCACTTGAGGTCAGGAGTTCGAGACCAGCCTGGCCAACACTGTGAAACCCCATCTCTACTAAAAATACAAAAATTAGCCGAATGTGGTGGTGCGTGCCTGTGGTCCCAGCTGTTCTGGAGGCTGAGGCATGAGAATTGCTTGAACCCAGGAGACAGAGACTGCAGTGAGCTGAGATCATGCCACTAAACTCCAGCCTAGGCAACAGAACAAGACCCTGTCTTAAAAAAAAAAAAGAAAAGAAAAAAACTGAGGCACAGAGAGATTGTGAAGAGATTGTAAGTGGAAGAAACAGAGACTCCATTATTTGTTTTTTGCCCCTAACCACTATTCCCTATGGCTTCTTTTAGGAAGCTTGGGCCTGTCAAAGATGCCACTCTGATAAGCTTTTGCCTTAACAAGTTATTTCACTTAACTCTCATAAAGAATGTTATACTACATGAGCATGTTAAATAATTCTTTGACCATTAGTTTTCTTACTAGTTTTTTTTAATGATTGTTTTGTGTTTAACAACATTCTCTAAGTTTAAATAGAAAATTCAAGCAAGACTTCAGTTAACACCACTGACAAAGAGCTAGAAATCATACATTGTTCATTTGTGTGTGTGTGTGTATGTGTGTGTGTTACAAGGGGACCTTCTACTGTGACAATAAATAATCTTAGAGGCAATGATAATTATATTTGAATGTGCAAGTCACTGTTTTTTTAGAATACCCTTAAACACATAATTAGGTCTTTTATTCTTATATTCTAAAAATGTTTAATTAGAAAAGGTCTGTTCATCAATGGATGAATGGATAAACAAAATACGGCCTATATACACAATGGAATATTATCCAGCCATTAAAAAGATTGAAGTTGCCTGGGCGTGGTGGCTCATGCTTGTAATCCCAGCACTTCGGGAGGCTGAGGTGGGCAGATCATCTGAGGTCAGGAGTTCGAGACCAGCCTGGCCAACATGGAGAAACCTTGTCTCTACTAAAACTACAAAAATTAGCTGGGCGTAGTGGTGGGCGCCTGTAATTCTAGCTACTTGGGAGGCTGAGGCAGGAGAACTGCTTGAACCCAGGAGGCAGAGGTTGCAGTGAGCTGAAATCATACCACTGCACTCTAGTCTGGGTGACAGAGCGAGACTCCATCTCAAAAAAAAAAAAAAGAGTGAAGTTGTGCTATTTGCAGCAACATGGATGGAACTGGAGGTCATTATGTTAAGCGAAATACGGCAGGCATAGAGAGACAAATATCTCATGTTCTCACTCATACGAGGGAGCTAAAAAGTAGATCTTATAAAGATAGAGAGTAGATTGGTGGTTACCAGAGGCTGGGAAGGGTAACAGGGAGAAGGGGATAAACAGAGGTCGATTAATGGATACAAATACACACTTAAAAGAAATAAGACCTGGTGTTCGATAGATCAGTAGAGTAACTACAGTTAACATTAATTGACTGCACATTTAAGTTTGTTTTTGTTTCCGTTTGAGACAGGGTCTCCCTCTGTCACGCAGGCTGCAGTCCAGTGGCACAGTCAGGCCTCACTGCAACCTCAACTTCCCACACTCAAGCAATTTTCCAGCCTCAGCTTCCCAAGTATCTGGGACTACAGGTGTGCACCACCAAGCCTGGCTAATTTCTATGTTTTTTTTTGTAGAGAAGGGGTTTCACCATGTTGTCCAAGCTGTCTCAAACTCCTGGGCTCAAGTGATCTGCCCACCTTGGCCTCTCAAAGTGCTGGGATAACAGGGGTGAGCCATCACACCCGGCCAGGATAGAATAATTAAAATAGCGAGAAGAGAATAACTTGAATGCTCCTAGTATAAAGCAAAAATAAATATTTAAGCTGATGAATATCCCAGTTATCCTGATTTGATGGTGTAAATGTATCAAGTTATCCCATGTACTCCAAAATATGTGTCTCTAATATGTATCAATTAAAAAGTAGTGCTAGGGCCAGGTGTGGTGGCTCACGCCTGTAATCTCAGCACTTTAAGAGGCCAAGGAGAGTGGATCATTTGAAGTCAGGAGTTCAAGACCAGCCTGGCCAACATCGTGAAACCCCATCTCTACTAAAAATATAAAAATTAGCCAGGTGTGGTGGTGCACACCTGTAATCCCAGCTACTCGGGAGGCTGAGGCATGAGAATCACTTAAACTCGGGAAGTGGAGGTTGCAATGAGCCAAGATCCCACCACTGTACTCCAGCCTGGGTGGTAAAGTGAGACTCTGTCTCAGAAAAAAAAAAAAAAGTTCTCATATACTAAAAGCTGGAACAATACAGAGCAGATTAGCATGGCCCCTGTGCAAAGATGACACGCAAATTTGTGAGGTGTCCCATATTTATTAAAAATTTTTAAATATGTATTTAAAAAAAAAAAAAGGTAGAGAGCAGTGGCTCACACCTGTAATTCTACCACCTTGGGAGGTTGAGGCAGGAGGATCGCTTAAAGCCAGGAGTTTGAGACCAGCCTGCGTAATATAAAGAGAACCCATTTCTTAAAAAATTTTTTTTTAATTAGCCAGATGTGGTGGCACATGCCTGTAGGATCAGCTACTCAGGAGGCTGAGGCAGGAGGATTGCTTGAGCCCAGGAGTTTGAGGCTACAGTAAGCTATAATTGTGCCACTGCACTCCATCCTGGGTGACAGAGTGAGACCCTATCTCAAAAAAAAAAAAAAAAAGGATAAATAAATAAAATGACTGTCAAATTGAAAAAAAAATAAATAAAATATCCCCCAAAACACACAAAAGGTTTTTAAGTGACCTAGCAATACAGTGGAGCTATGGCATGGGACTCATGGCAGCTATTCCAAAAACTGGAAATAATTCAGATAATCTTTTGCAAATGTAATTAAATACATACCTTGTTTTATTTGATGGATTTGTTTTTAAAAAGTTAGATGTAAGCCAAATTTATCAAAATAAAAACATCCTATTTACTGTTCAATGCAAGCTTGCATTCCTCGTGTAAAATGGAAAATCCTTCTGCAGTGTTGATATCTACTTTTCAATTGATTTGTCTTAAAGTTTGCAACTTTGAATCCTTTCTCCTCTTTTCTTCTCTCATTTTCTATCCCTCTCCAACTTTGTTTTGTGTGTTCGCTCACTTACTTGAACAAAGTGCATATCCAAATAAGTTACCTAAGATTGACTGCCATAAATCTGAAGCCTTTGGGCCATATTTTAAAAATTATTAGGTTGGGTGCGGTGGCTCACGCCTGTAATCCCAGCAATTTGGGAGGCGGTGGTGAGTGGATCACCTGAGATCAGGAGTTCAAGACCAGCCTGGGGAATATGGTGAAAACTAGTCTCTACTAAAAATACCAAAATTAGCTGGGCACGGTGGGGTGTCCCTGTAATCCCAGCTATTCGGGAGACTGAGGCAGGAGAATTCCTTGAGCCTGGGAGGCAGAGGTTGCAGTGAGCCGAGATTGCACCACTGCACTCCAGCCTGGGCAACAGAGCGAGACTCTGTCTCAAAATAAATAAATAAATAAATAAATAAATAAAATAAAAAAAAATTCTTAAACTGCAACAAAAGCAACTCTGCAGTCACATCTTACTTCCTTGCTCCCAGGATATTCGGTCCCCACTGTGTCTGTTGTTCAGAGTATCTAGCTGGACTCCCAGCAACTGCAGAAAATTTTAGCGTTAGGCTGATTTTTGGTTTTTAAGTCCATCATCCACTCTCCAGTACTACTACAGTCAAATGAATAGACATTTACTGAGAACCTACTGTGTCCTTCCAGAGTTGTCCTAGGTTTTGTGGGAGGCACAAAGAATCAGAATGACAGAGCAGTGGGACTTTGGAGCTGAAAGGGTCATCACAGTTTTAGTTCAGCCTCCTTGATTTGGAGTTAAAGAACCTGATAGCCAGAGCGGTGTAGGGCCTCACTGAAAAGCCCACGTGTAGTCACAGAGCCAGGAGTGGAGCCTGCAGCTCTGGACTCTCAGGTGGTTAGTTATTACCTGATTACAGGAACAAACTTAGGCGTTTGCTTCATGGCATGCACTGTGTCAGGCACTGGAGGTTCAGAAATAAATAAAAGCCTTCCGGGGGAAAGGTAAGAACTTTCCTTCCTGGGGAAAACGGGAGGCAAGTGAAATCAGTGCAGTGGTTTTTTTTTTTTTTTTAATTGTTGTTGTTTTATGGTTTTTATTTTTATATTTATTTTTTGAGGTGGAGCCTGGCTCTGTCGCCCATGCTGCAGTGCAGTGGTGCGATCTTGGCTCACTGCAACCTCCACCTCCCAGGTTCAAGCGATTCTTCCACCTCAGCCTCCAGAGTAGCTGGGATTACAGGCATGCACCACCATGCCTGGCTAATTTTTGTATTTTTACTAGAGACGGGGTTTCATCATGTTCACCAGGCTGGTCTCAAACTCCTGACCTCAAGTGGTCCACCTGCCTCGGCCTCCCAAAGTTCTTGGATTACAGGTCTGAGCCACCACGCCCAGCCTATTTTGTTTTTGAGACAGAGTCTTCTTCTGTCACCCAGGCTGGAGTGTGGTTGCGTGATCACGGCTCACTGCAGCCTCAACCTCCCAGGCTCAAGTCATCTTCCTACTTTAGTCTCCCAAGTAGCTGGGACTATAGGTGTGTGCCACCACATCCAGCTACTTTTTGTATTTTTAGTAGAGACAGGTTTCTGTCACAAGTTGAAGCCAAGTCTGCAAAATCAGTGACACTCTCCAAGGCAACCCTCCAAAAAAATCCCAAGATACACTGTCCTCCTTTATCAGACCACTCTCTCTATTTCATTTTATGCTGTGTCAACTTGATATCAAAAAAGGACTGTAAAATATTCTTTACAAATATATATATATATATATGTGAGTTTTGCCATGTTGGCCGGGCTGGTCTCAAACTCCTGTGCTCAAATGATCGACCCACCTTGGCCTCCCAAAGTGCTGGGATTACAGGCATGAACCACTGTGCCTGGCCTTATGAGGATAAACTCAGGCAACTGTGGAGGCCCAGAAAGTGCACCAAACACAATTCAAGGTGGGGATGAGGCAAGGAAGCATTCTGGGAGTAAGTAATGCAAGAGCTGAGTCTTGTGGGATGGGTGAAAACTGGAAAAAGCCAAGTGAGGAATGGTGTGCTACTTATTACTGAGAGGGGAATAATATACACACATGTAAATTAAGTGGCAATAAAATAGTAGAGGTGGTACACTAAGGCCATATATAGCTAACTTCCAAATGAATTGAAAACCAGTCATTTTTCATGGAATTCAGGAGAGGAATATGTGGACTGATTAAAAATATGGGCAGAGGGCCAGGAGCGGTGGCTCATGCCTGTAATCCCAGCACTTTGGGAGGCTGAGGTGGGCAGATCACAAGGTCAGGAGATCAAGACCATCCTGGCTAACACAGTGAAACCCCGTCTCTACTAAAAAAGACAAAAAAGTTAGCCGGGCATGGTGGTGGGCGCCTGTAGTCCCGGCTACTCGGGAGGCTGAGGCAGGAGAATGGTGTGAACCCAGGAGGTGGAGCTTGCAGTGAGCTGTGATTGCGCCACTGTACTCTAGCCTGGCGAACAGAGTGAGATTCCGTCTCAAAAAAAAAAAAAAAAAAAAAAAAAATTGGGCAGAACAGATGCTCCAAGTTGTTTGGTTACATGGTTTTGATTTTTTGTTTTTCTGTCACAGTAAGTCCTGTGGTGAAGGGAAAATCCACTTTGGAGATAGAAGGCAGGAATCCCAGTTTTTCTGTGTACTGGACAATATGGTCTGTCTGTACCCCAAATATAATAATGCTGAGCTCGCTGGACAAATGGTGGTGGTGATGAAATGAGATGCTGAAGTTCTGAGTGCTCCATTACGACTCATCAGCTGTGATGTGTCATCTGTATGTCATTAACATATAGCCAGATAAACCCATCTTTAATCAGAGCACTGGACTGTAAACACTCCCTCTGGTGTTTTCTTCTCAATATCTAAGACTGTGTGGTAAGGAGAGATTATGAGGGAATCTGTCAAGGAACCAGAGACATTTGCTCTAGGAGAAAATGGCCAATTCCTCATGACCAAGGAACGGCTGGGGCTATTCTAGATCTATATCTGTATTTTGATTTAATTTAATTTAATTTTTTTTAGAGATGGGGCTCTTGCTATGTTGACCAGGCTGGTCTTGAACTCCTGGCCTCAAGCAATCCTCCCATCTTGGCCTCCCAAAGTGCTGGGATTTAGGCATGAACCACGATGCCCAGTCCTATATCTATATCTTTTTAGAGACAGGGATCTCACTCTGTCACCCAGACTGGAGTGCAGTGGTGTAATCATAACTCACTGCAGGCACTACTTCCTGGGCTCAAGAGATCCTCCTGCCTCAGCCTCCAAAAGTGCTGGGATTATAGGCATGGGCCACTGCACCCAGCCCTATAGTATATATTAATTAACTTTGTCTCTACTTGTGTTTTGTGTGTTTAGATTCCATTGTCCCTGCATGTCCACGAAGAAGTTACATTCCTAGTATCAAACAGGAAAGAGAGTGCTAGTTTGGAGTTGAAGAACTCTCTCTCTCTCTCTCTCTCTCTCTCTGTGTGTGTGTGTGTGTGTGTGTGTGTGTGTGTGTGTGTGTGTGTCTACAAATAGTGCCTGGGTTCAGGAGGCTGGCTCTGGAGGGCTGCTGCATTGATTTAAGCTAAGCTTTGTTGGATGACCTTGGGCAAGTTACTTAACTCCTCCGTGCCTCAATTTATTTGCAAAATAAGGATAGTAATTGTACCTATGTCCCAGAGTTGTGAGGATTAAATGAGTGAATTTTATCAAAAGCCTGGCACATAGTATCAGTGAATGTTAGTCATTACTTTCTCCCCGTTGTTTGCACACTACTTATGTATCCTAAGGTGAAAGTTTTTTTTTTTTTTTTTTTTTTTTTTTTTTTTTACTAGAGCTAGAAAACTATTGATTGAAATTGATTTAAGCAATCATTTATTTATTTTAAACCTGCATATGTTTTAATAAGAAAAAAAACCCTAATATTTGCTTGGGAAGAATCGTGGAAAAGACAATTTTGGTAAAGACCATTTTTGCAGTTCTTTTCTTGATATCAAGTTGATATAGCATAAAACGAAATATAGAGAGTGGGCTAGTGAAGGACAGTGTATACTGGGATTTTTTTTTTAGAGTCTTGGAGAGTGTCACTGACTTCACAGACTTGGCCTCAGCTTGTGAGAAGTAGGTGTGGTTGGCAAAGCATAGTAGGCATCCACATGTACTCTGGGCTATACATGTATCTCTCATCTACAAACGCTGAAGTTATATTTTCTTTTTCTTTTGTTTTGATATGAAGTCTCACTGTGTCGCTCAGGCTGGAGTGCAATGGTGCTATCTCAGCT